AAACATCTGCCTACCCACACTCTATCAATTAGTCCAAAAACACCTATGCCATGTTAAATCCCTCTCTAACCTGGTTCTCTCTAGATTTTTTGGACTTCAGTTCCGAACAATGTCAGAGTGTCATACAGATAGATGAAATTGGTACCCAGGTCCATAGTCACTGACATAGTCTTTGAATATTCTATATATTTGTTTCCCTGTTAAAGATACACCAAATATTTCTACAAAACAGACACTAAACTGTTTAGGGTGGTTAAAACCAAAAGAGTCTGTGAGGAGCTCCAGGATGGGAAAATGGACACCAAACTGACAAATGCAGTTCAGCATAAGCAAGTGTAAAGTAATGCATGTGGGGGCAAAAAAAATATCCCACTTTCAGGTATACGCTGATGGGATCTGAACTAGCAGTGATTTTGGGGTAGTAGTGGACAGCTTGATGAAAATGTCAACCCAGTGAGCAGCTGCTATGAAAAAGGAAAATTCTGCACTGGGTATAATTAGAAACCAAATAGGAAATAAAACTACCAAAAACTTATTCCCATTATACAAACCTTTGGTGGAACTGCACTTAGAATGTTGTGTTCAGTTCTGGTCACCTTACCTGAAAAAGAGCATTACTTAGTTGAAAAAGTATGAAGAAGGGCAACAAAAATTATAAGGGGGTGGAGCAGCACCCTTATGAAGAATAGCTACAATAACTAGGACTGTTTAGCTTAGAAAAAAGGCAAGTATGGGGAGACATGACAGAGATATTTAAAATAATGCATGGTATGGAGAAAGTGAGGATGGAGACATTTCTCTCTCTCTCCCATAATGCTTGAATGTAGGATCATCCCATGAAGCTGATCAGTGGGAGGTTTAGGACAGATAAAAGGAAGTACATCTTCACACAACATGTAGTTATACTGTGAAATTCACTGTGACAGGAAGTAGTGATGGCCACCAATCTGGAAGGCTTTAAAAAGGGATTGGCCTGATTCATAAGGGTGGAAGCTATCAAAGCAGGTGTGACATACCTGCATATAGTAGCTGCTGAGCAATTTGGGCAGGCGGAGGTCTTGCACCCATCTTATTTGAGTGATCCTGTGGGCAGCTGGATTGTAAGTATGGAGTGCTGGATTAGAGGAACCTTTGGTCTGATCCAGCATGGCTTTTCTTGTATTCTTATTTATATTATTGTCCCTTCTTTTGAACACAGGAATGCTTTTGCTGTTTACTGCCCTTAAACAGGAGCCCCCTTTGCCCTGTTCAAGTGTTCAGAGGTTGTCTGACCATCAAATTCTGCCTTCACACACACAATGACAAATTCCATCCGTAATCTGTTGTCTGTTTATTACCAGGCTCTGGAGATATGACAAGTCCACTCAAATCATGAACAGGCAGCAACATTAACTATAATGATGTAACATTATCTTTTTTTGCCTGTAGAACAAGCCCAAAGGCCCTGATGGCCAAGAAACCTTAATTGTCCTTGGATGATATATCTCCCATAAGAAGATAAGAAACTGCTTTGGCCTACCTGTCTGGAGATGGTGGGAGTATTGCTCAACACCTCTGGAGGGCACTGAGTTAAGGAAGCTATCCTAGTGTATCAGATCAATCATCTGCCTTAACCAGTATCCTGTCACTATCACTGGCCAGCATCAGTGATCATTTGGATTAGGATTATTTATTGTATTTCTATACCACCCAATAACTAGAGCTTTCTGGGCAGTGAAGGACAATTGGTAAATGTATTTCCTGTATGACATCAAAGAAAGGATGTCAAGCTCCTCTCAGGGCTGATTCACAGACTTACTTCATTCTTGGTGAAGTCACCACACCTTGTCTTTGCAGTCTCCAGGGGATTTAGATATGCCATCAGCCTTCATGAATTCTCTGTTACGCATTGAGCTTGCAGCAATTGGTCCAACCCCCTCATGTTGCTTTCCCCATATTAGTGTACACAAGTATCCAAACTTGTGCTCCATTAAATTCTTGTTCCATAAATTCATCTAGCTCATTTTCTAATCCAGTTTATATGCCTGGCTATAACCATGCCCCAAGGCATTCAATTCTAGAGCTCAGCTGAAGTGCTGAAAGGTTTTTAATCCCAGTTTATCTTAAAATCTCTCTCTCTCTCTCTCTCTCTGTGCGCGTGTGCGCGTGCACATGCATTCATTTCATTTCATTTGAAAGACAGCATCAGCTCCTACACATGAGAGCTGATCCCATCCATTCTAGCAGAGTTGAGATCCCCATCTTCTCTTACCTTTCAGTCACACTTAGAGATGTGAAGGCCAAAAATCAATAATAATTCACACACACAAAAAAGGAAAGCCACAGATTTCTTCTTCTTTTTCTCCCCCTTCACCCCACCACAGCTCTACTTGATTATCAAGACATTCTTAAATTGCTATTCCCCTAGGGGAGCTCACTTTCCTTCATTTTTCACTTTGTAAGGCTGCATTGGCAGAGAAATTAAGGATGAAGCAGAGAAGGTTCCCAAGATATGCCTCAGTCAAGGAGATCGAATTGATCCATTTGGTTTAGCACATTTATTCTTAATTAGCTGGATTTTTGGCTTTGGCATTAGACCTTAAGACTTGACCTTAAGACTGGTACCTCTAGGTCTGCACTCCCCAGTTAGTAGCTCTCAGTTCTCTTTCAAAGAAGCATAACTATATGGCATCTTCTCTACATGTTGACTTATGGGAAACTGGAGGACCATGAGCCAATGAATTTACAGGCAAAAGTGGCTGTGCAACTGTAGATGGTGAGTATACAAAGGAAGTTGAAAGACTGAGGGGAAATAAGGGAAGATGGACTCAGGGGAAACCACATAGGGAACCAAACCTGAGAGTTGACTTGGTTTAAGACATAGTAGGGCAGGTCTAGAATTTCTAGAAGATAATAGAGGGTGGGTAGATCTGACTGTGCTTATTTAGGGAGCCACACAAGTTGTCTGAATATTCAAACTAGACCATGCATATAGCATTTATTAATAATTTGAACTGTATTTTGTGATGATTATGAGTGGATTCTCCATTCCCCACCTCACTGGAATAGCAGAGCCAAATGGTTATGCAAGTAAGCTACAAAGCCAACCCAGACAGTCATCTTTCCCTTCATCCTTCATGATTGGGGTAGGGTTAGGGGCGAGTGAAGGGGGACTGAATTTTCAGATTTGTCAAATCAAATCCAGATTGGTTTAATGATTAAGAGTGCAGGACTGAGACTCAGTTGATTTGGGTTCTAGTCCCTGCTCAGCCATGGAACCAGCTGGGTGACCCTGGGCCAGTCACAGAATCTCAGCCCAACAGGGCTGTTGTTGTGGAGATAAGATTGAGAGCAGGAGGAGAAGGAGAATGATGCAAGGCACTTTGAAAGAAAAAAGGGGGATATAAATCTAATAAATAAACCATAATAAATAAAAAAATCCATGAAGATCCTATTTAATTATTAACAGTACCCCATTCCTTAGAGCTTAATTGGAAGACAAGCCAGCCAGCCGAATATTGCATAATGGGAGGACTGCCAAATTGGCATTACCAACCTACCTCACTGGTATTTTGACATCTCAGCCAGAGACTAGTTGGTTGGAGCTGCAATCTGAAAGCTGACACTGCTGCAAGTCCCCTGAGTTACACAAAACAGATTTCCAAGCCCTTGAAACCAGCACTTCCAATTGCCACAATGGGTAGGATCAGCCTTTTTCATGCTTTTCCTTCAACTGTCCCCCCAACAAATTTGCCTTTTACTGAAAAGCTGCTCTGCAATGCTCGGAGACTGAGCTAACCTCTACTGTCACCAAATAGCACATCACCTGATGAGCCATCAGTCAGTCTGGCGAGCGGAGACACTCTTCTCCATTCTTTGTGTACCTCCCTGAAACCTGCTAGCCAGGCAGGAGACAGTTAAGGAAGATCACAAGTGCCCAAGAAAAGAAAACCAATAATGTAATTCCTGGTGGATGGTGCAGTAGCTCAGACAGAGGAATGGCAGGTTTACAAAGAGCCAGTGTGGCATAGTGGCTGAGAGAGTTAGACTAGGACTCAGAAGACCCTGCTTGGTTGAGAAGCTCACTGGGTACTTTGGACTAGTCACTGCCTCTCAGCCTAACCCACCTCACAAGGTTGTTGTGAGGAGAACATGGAGAAGAGAATTGTGCAAGCCACCTTAGCTTCCTTCCAAGAGATATAAAGGTGGGATAAAAATGTAATAAAACAATAAAAAGGGAAAAGGTAAGGGAAACATTGCAGGATAGTAGCATGAATGACAAGCTCAGTGGGTGAAATATAATGGCGACTGGGATGTAGCAAAAGTGCTAAGGGTCTACATAAATGACTAAGGAAATCTGGAGGATGCTGGCAGTCCTGGGAATGAGGGTACCATTAGCCCTGTTATCCTGTCTTGCTGCCTGCTATAACAAACGGGCAGAAAAAAGCAATGAGAAAAATGTAGGTAGCTGAACAGCTTAAGAGCCAGTGCAATGTAGTGGTTAAGAGTGTGGGACTAGTCACTGGAACTCAGGCAATCTGAGTTCTAGTCCCCACTCAGCAATGGAGCTCACCGAGTGATTTCAGGCCAGTCACAGACTGTCAGCCCAACCTAGCTCACAGGGTTGTTGTTATGAGGCTAAGATTGAGAGTAGTCAAATTATATAATCTACTTTTAGTTCCTTGGAAGGAAAAAAGGGTGGGATATAAATATAAGTAATTAATTGATTAATAGGAAGAGTGGCTATGATTGAGCCAATAGCATTAAGCCACAAAATTCCACAGGAAATCAGTTTAGTCCAGTGGGCAAAAGCAACCTTCGATGCAAACTTGACAAAGGCTTGGGGGGGCACATGCACCATTGCCACCCTCTGGAGAAACAGGAAAGCGGGGAGGGGGGAGATGGGGAACGGAATGCATAACCCTTTGTCTCTTGTGCAAGCTAAGGAAGGAGGGGAGATGGGATGGAAGGCCAGAAATGCAGGGATGGCTACTCGTCTCCTCCTGTTTCCCGATTCTTACCAGTCCGTGCCCGGCTCATCCACCACCAGCAGCACTTTGCTGCGCCCCGAGGACGCTCCGGAGCCGGCTACCCCCCCAACCTGCTCGCTGAAGGTGGCCGCCGCCGCCGCCGTCGTCTGTTTCACGGCGTTGGAGAGGGACGAGAAGAACCCGCCACTCCCGCCAGCGCTGGGGCTGGGGGCAGCCGCCGGCGGGGGCCTCTCGGCGGGGGAGACGCTGCCCGGGGACGGGGAGCTGGCGCTGGGCGGCGGCGGCGGCGGCTGCGGGCGCTGCAGATCCGTCATGTAGCCATTGGGCAGGTTGGCCATGAAGTTGCTGTCGGAGAGCCGCCTGCGCAGGTAGTTCATCTTGGCTTGCGAGGAGGAGAGGGCTGAGGGAGAGCGGGGAGCCCTCTATGGGGCTGCGGCGTGAGGGGGGGGGAGGCGTTCCCCGGGGGTGCGGAGGCTCTGCTGGCCAAGGGGGATCGAAGCCTTCCAGGAAGGGTGCCGCCACCAGACCACTGCGGGGAAGCCCTGCTTCGCCTAGCGGGAGCTTCACCAGCCTGGGAGAATCTTTCGAGGTGTTCGCCCAGCAGGGAGGGGCCGCCTTGCAGCAGGCGCTCCCGGGAGGAGATGGCCCTTCTCGCACTCCAGCGGTCTTTCGCCAGCAGGGACCTTTACCCAAGAAGAAGGGGGCCTACTGGAGGGAAAAGGAAGAGAATTCTCCCCGCACAACCGGGAAAGGCTCTTAGCAAGTGTCTTTCCCGCCGTCCGGACAGATTCTGCTCCGTTGGGGGCGCCAGCAGGGAAAATCTACGGGAAAGGGTTACCCTACTGCCCGTGCACGTCGGAGAGCGAGAATCTCTAGAGAAGAGGAAAGCCAACACGACGCGGCTCCTCCCAACTCCCGGAGCCTTCTGCGCTCATCAGCAGCCAGCCCTGCCCAATTAAGCAGGCTTCCTCTGCTTGGACTCTTCCAATCCCTTCCCTTCAGCCCCCCGCGGCTGCAATGGTAGGTGCCTTTCCCCTGCAAAACCAAGCGAGGGCTGCCGCATTCGTGCACGGGAGTGGGGGAGGAGCTCCGCATCTCTCTCCGAAGCACCCCCTTCCCTGGCAGAAATAAATGGTACAGCCCGGTACCCAACAGCAGAGATGCAGGGATGGAGACAGAAGGATGCTGTCGCTGCTGGTGGTGATGCTATGCTTTCCCATGGAGTTGACGCTGGTGTTGTGGTTTCACTGCCTACACTGCTGATGTTGACGTCATAGTGCCTAGGTCAATGATGTCATGAAACTAGCTGGAAAGGTATTCCAACCCCTCCCCCCCCCATTTTGAGGAAAACAGTGGTTCATCTGCCTTACAAGCATCTCAAAATGAGAAGCAGATCTCTTTCAGAATGGGGTGTGGGGGAGAGCACCTCACCAAGTGAAGTGCAGGTTTCAAACGACTCTTTCCAGTGTGGACCTTCAGTGGGCTGAGAGATCAAGTGCCCCAAGCCCAAGGTTCTTATAAAGAAGAGACATGATGCTTGCATCATGTAAGACATTTTACCTGGAGAGCAATTAAGAACAAGAGCAGGGGGGAAATTTGTGCAACAATATGAACAAAGGCTGTAAGACCAAGCATAGAGGGGGGAGTTTATGGTCATGCATGTTTATCAATTCATTCATATAACCCAATCAGCATATAAGATGCTTTACAGAGTAACACAACCAACCCTAACAAAATCATCTCTTCTCTTAAATGTATAGTCTAAGTTTGAAGACTGTACAGGTGTCAGTACCTCAAAAAGCAAAGATGACCATGTTAGCTACCCAAGGGGAAGGGAATTTTTAAAAATCCTTATTACCACAATATGTGTATTAGTCCAGCTCAGCAGTGACACAGAATGTGCAAGCTTTTGAGCTCTCCAGTTCTCCTAATCAGGCAACAAGCAAAATGTCAATCCAGACATACAAGCCAGGGAACCTTTATTGGCAGCGACTTTCCAAAATAGATTCAAGCAGCAAAATTGATACCTACATTGCACAGTTTTAACAAAAAATGGTGGATGGATGCACATTTTTCTTATCTAAAATTAAAGAAATGAAGAGTTCAAAATATAAATAGATAAATATGCAGTGAAAATGGAGAATGGATGCTTGGAGTAAATTAAGTGGAAAGTCCTAAGTAAATAACAGGACAATGGAGGGTTACAGATTCATCATTTACCATCATTTACCGAGAAGTACAATTGCATGAAGAGTTAAGTTGTATGTAAGCCACAAAATGTAAGGCTGAAAAATGTGTTTAATCCTTCCATGATGCTGAAGTTTAGACACGCAGCTTAAGCTGCCATTTCCATGCTTTGGGTGAATTTTTAAATGCTTTAACTGTTCTCCTAAACTGAAGAGGTTGAATTCTGTGATTTACTTGTTTTCTAAAGAGCGGGGAGAGAGGGGAGATGGACCATTCCTGGCCTAAGGATGTGCTAAGAGGCCCCCGTTCGTTCATCCAAAGGCGAATCCTGACACTTTATTTTGCATTTTGCTCTTTTTGATAGACAAGGGATTCCAGTAAAAAAGAGCATATCAAGCAAGCCTGAAAACTGCTGCTGCTTCACATACTTATATATCTCAGTAATCTTGATAACAACTCTGTAAAATAGAGAACTTCATAGTTACCTGTATATTATCCCTGCTGATATTATATTTATATTTTGTCCAGTATTTCAAGAACTGTGCTAGGCATACAATGCAGTCGATTCTTGCTGGTGAGACCTATGTCCATGGGTCTCCTTAACCATGTCAGCTTTTATTCTGAGCTGTACAGAAATGATCTACAATGCAGCACCATGATGGAGCTCCTAAAATGTAAAGCTCTTCCAGCAGCCTGTCTGAGGCTAAATGTCTTACAGCAACTCTGGAATGTAATATAATGCACATGTAGTGATGTGTCATTCAGAAAGAAACCCAGGCAAGTATTCAGCATTCTCCCCAGGAAGCAGGAGACTTCCTAGCAGGTAGCAATGCATTCATCTCTGCGTACTTTGGGCCGACACTTTTTTTTATTTTTATTGCTACTCTAAGGTAGGCTGTCCTGATTAAAACTGGGGGCTTAAACCTATTCTGCAGTAAAACAAACAAACAAATACACACACACACACACACACACACACACACACAACCTGATAGATGTAGGTTTAGCACAATGTCTGTTTTGCCTTCAACTTGAAGCTGTTTGGGGTTTACATCTGAGTAAACATGTATGAAACTGAATTGCTACAGTAGCATTCAAGGCATTCAGTTTTGGCTCTGTCTGTTTTAAGGGTATTTTAGAGCTGGACTGTGTCCTTAACTAAAATTTGCCCAGTCACTGAGGTCATCAGAGAACCTTTTCCTGGTGGTTCCACATGGACTTAGCATTCAACTGGGTACCACCAGAAGAGCCTTCAGTGTGGTGACCCCATTTCTGTGAAATTCTCTGTACTGTTTTTATTCTTTGATCTGTTTTAACTCTGCTATTCACTGCTCTGCAATCTGGATGTGGAGTGATGTAGATTTAATATAAATGAACATAAATTATACACAGGAAAATAAATTGTAGCACAAATATGTGCAAAATATTTGATGCATAAATACATGCAATTCACAAATATTTGCAATTCATGAGCAAGTACATGAAAATACACAAAGCAGCACCTCATACCAGTAATACAATAGCTCCTCTCCCCACGCATATGTTCTTCCACAGTTCATTCCAGCAATGGTCATTTTTCTCTTGGGAACCATGCTCTGTCTGGAAAGCATCAAAGTGACAATGAGCATGTGATGAGTAACAGAAACACATGATCAATAAACATACCTTTATTTAGATAACTAGAATACATGTGTGTTTTTACCAAGCCATTGCAAGACCTGAGCTATCCTTGCCTTGGGCCAAACTAACCTACCAACCAATCTGTGAAAAATAAGGTATATTTTGATTAGGCCTCCTAACATTCGAAACTGCTATGACAAGGCCATTCTTCAACAACAGTTTCTGAAACCTGGATTGATTATGTTAGATTCTCCTTATGTTAGATTCTCCATGTCACATTTCAGAACAAAGCATTGACTTAAGGAAGACTAGAATTTTCATTCTGTGTCATGACAGCATCCTGAAAAAGCAGAGCCTTCACTATAAAACTGCTCTTATGGCTGGATCAGTAGTCCAGAGGCTCCCTGGATGCAAACTGACACTCAAGCTGCCCCTCCTCTTCTGAATTTCAGGAACTGGGGCTGGAAAAGAGGGTTTAGAAAAGTCCAGATATCCATTTTGTTCCTCCAGACAGTGCATCACTACAGGCAAGATACTGGCATAACAGATCATAGGTTTGACCCAGCCTGTCCTCAGTGCTGAAAATGTCAGTGCCTTTGTCCATGGTGCTGATTAAACCTCTCACCACCTCTCGCCACCAAGGGTGGGCAGAAGGAGACTAGGATATGCTGATAGATCTCTGGGTGGTTTGCAATGGATTGGCAAGGATTTCTGAGGGTCAGTTCTAACAATAACAACATGATTCCCCATCCCCTATGAAGAAAATTTAGGAGTAGGTTTTTGGGTAGAAGGCCTGGGAGTTCCATTCCGTTCTGCCACTCAAAACAAATACCAAAGCTCAACATTATTTAATTCTATGTATATATTCTTTTGCACAAGGGTCTGGTTAATAGAACTTGGGGTTCTGGTATAAAAAAGGCAGATCCTGCAACCCTGTTCATCCCTATTCTACACTGCTGGAAAGGCTGCTAACACATGAGTATCCCTTATGTTCAAATTGCCCTTTGACTCTTTCCACAAATGGAAGGATCAACCGGCACACAAGTTATGAAACAGGTTTAGGCTAATATACTGAACCAGCTAGAGGCTGGTGCTTGTTCTAAACTCAGAGCAGGTCTGTATCTTTGCAAGAGGGCATGTTAGGAGTCACCTTCATGGATCATTACCTTTTCATGGCGAATGGGCTTGTGTAGCTCAATGATGCTATGAGCTATGCCATGCAGGGCCACCCAAGACGGACAGGTCATAGCAGAAAGCTCTGACAAAACGTGATCCACTGGAGAAGGAAATGGCAAACCACTCCAGTATCTTTGCCATGAAAACCCCATGGACAGTACCAAAAGGCAAAAATATATGATGCCAGAAGATGAGTCCCTCAGTCAGAAGGTGTCCAATATGCTACTAGGCAAGAGTAGAGGGCTAGTACTAGTAGCACCAGAAACAATGAAGCGACTGGGTCAAAGCCAAAAGGACACCCAGTTGTTGATGTACCTGGTGGTGAGAGTCCGATGCTGTAAAAATCTATACTTCATAGGAACCTGGAATGTAGGATCCATGAGTCAAGGCAAGCTGGATGTGGTCAAACAAGAGATGACAAGACTGAACATCAACATTTTAGGCATCAGTGAACTAAAATGGACAGGAATGGGTGAATTTAATTCAGATAATCATCAGGTATACTACTGTG